TTTGCCCTAATCGTTCCTTTTCTGTTTTGGAAATTTTGAGTCATTTGGACAATGTTTTATTTTGCCAAACAAAAATCTTTATCAAAATAATCTCTTTTTACACTTCCTTACCAAAAATATATCCCTGTTTACGCTTCTCCCTCTTCTACTTACTGGCTCCTTTTAAATTTTCTTTCTTTCCTTGGGCCAACAAGATAGCTTAGTGGATAAAAGAGCTTGCTGTACAACCCTGACTACCTGAGTTTGATCCCTGGACCCCACCGTGGAAGGAAAGAGCCAACCTCCAAAAGTTGTCTTCTGATTTACACACATACCATGGCATGTGTACCCTCACACACAAATTACACACATACACTAATGATAATAAATAAAAATTTAGCAATTATCCCAAGCGTGGTGGCTCACACCTTCAATCCCAGCACTTGGGAGGCAGAGGCAGGTGGATCTCTGTGCGTTTGAGGCCAGCTTGGTCTATATAGGGAGTTCCAGGTCAGCTGGGGCTACAGGGAGACCCTGTCTCAAAAAGACAAAAAAAAATTAGCAATTATATCCTTCCTGAATAACTAGAAATAGAAGAGCACAACACACAAATTTACCGACTTAATACAAAAAATTGAATCCAAATTAAGTTCATGACATAATGTAACAAATGAAGATTAGCTGTCCACACATGGTTGCATTATAAAGCTTATATACGTGGTAAGTCCTATGTAAAGTTTTATTGCCACTTAGATTTTTTTTGTAAATTTTTCATAGAATTTTTGTATCTTTCATAGCCACTTAGATGTTTTAAAACTTATTTATTATCATAGTGTGTGGGGTGTGCATGCCATGGTATGTGTGGAAGTCAGAGGACAGCTTTGTCCATCTTTATGTGGGTTCCAGGGATGTAACTCAGGTTTTCAGGCCTGTGCAGCAAGCACCGTTACCTGCTGAGCCATCTTTCAGGCCCAGATTTTTTTAATTATTTATTTTTATGTGTATGAGTGTTTTGCCTGTATATATGTAAGTGCATCCATGTTGTGCAATGATCACGAAGGTCAGAAGAGGGTATTGCCCCCTGTAGCTGGAGTTATGCATGGTTGTTAGCTGTCTTGTGGGTACTAGGAACTGAACTTGGGTCCTCTGCAAGAGCAGCCAGTGCTTTTAACTGCTGAGCCATCTCTCCACCCTTTCCCTAGATTTTTTTTTTTTTTTTGGTCTTTTTGAGACAGGGTCTCCCTGTAGCTACAGCTGACCTGGATTCGCTGTGTAGACCAGGCTGGCCTCAAACTCACAGAGATCCACCTGCCTCTGCCTCCCGAGTGCTGGGACTAAAGATTTTCACCACCATACCTGGCTTCTTTCTCTCTCTCCTTGCTATATAGCCTTTGATCCCAACACTTGGGAGGCAGAGGCAGGCAGATCTCTGTGAGTTCAAGACCAGCCTGGTCTACATAGCAAGTTCCAGCCAAGCTGGGTTTACAGGGAGACCCTGTCTCAAAAAGACAAAAAAAAAAAAAAACCAAAAAAAAAAAAAAAACAAGAACAAAAACTCTGAGGCTGATACCAACCTTGTACTCCTCCAGGAACATATGGGCTGAGGCAAGGTTAACTCAGAGCAAGCAGTGGTCTAACCTCTGTATAACTTGTAGGAGTAGATTCTACAACATGGAGTACAAAGTTTTCTGTAATACATAGTATCAAAGTGCCCCTCTCAAGCATTCCTGTCCCTTAACACAAGTCCCCTAATTACCTTGTTATGAGTATCATATAAATTTGTCATAAGGCCAGTTCTTGCTGTCATATAACATTTTGTAACTCTCAGACTTCTGTGAAAAAAATTTGTAAAAGAGCCTTTAAAAAAAAATCTGGTAACTAGAGAAATGGCTCAGTGGTAAAGAGTGCTAAAGACCTAGGCCAGGCCTGGTGGTGCACGTCTTTAATCCCAGTACTCAGGAGGCAGAGGCAGGCAAATCTCTGTGAGACTGAGGCCAGCTTGGTCTACATAGTAAGTTCCAGGCCAGCTGGGGCTGCATGGAGACCCTGTTTCTAAAAGACAAAAAAAAAAGTGCTAAAGACCAGAGTTAGGTTCCTAGCACCAGTCCCAGAAGGGTCATCCAGCTGCCTGTAACTCCAGCTTCAAAGAATTCGACACCCTGTTCTGGCTTCTGTGGCCACCTGCATATATGTGCCCATATATACACACAGATATACACACACAAACACACACACACAGATACACATACACAATAAAATAAATCTGCTTCAGAGAGGTGGTGCACACCTTTAGTCCTAGCACTCAGGGGGGCGGAAGCAAGTGAATCTCTTTGAGTTCAGCTAGTCTGATCTACATGATGAGCTCCAGGTTAGTCAGGGCTACACAGTGAGACCTTGTCTCAAATCAGGCGATCAATCAATCAATCAAAAAACAAAAAACAGGCTGGTGAAATGGTTCATCCCATCCATCCCTTATGGATGAGCATTTAGGGTTTTCTGGTGGGTTTTTTTGTTTGTCTTTTTGAGACAGGGTCTCCCTGTATCCCCAGCTGACCTGGAACTCACTATGTAGACCAGGCTGGCCTTGAACACACAGAGATCCACCTGCCTCTGCCTCCCAGTGCTGAGACTAAAGGCGTTCGCCACCACACCCCCATTGGTTTTTTGTTTTGTTTTACTTTTTTTTTTTTATGAGACAAAGGCTTACCACGTAGTCCAGGCTGGCCTTAAACTCATGGCAATCCTCCTGCCTCAACCTCCTGAGTATTAAGATGATAAACACAAGAGCTGCAGAGCTCATGCAGCCTTGAAAGGCTCAGGCTCATAACCAAAAGGACTAGATTAAAGGCCTGAGTTACCACACCCAATGCTGTTGGTTGCTTGGCGCTGGGTTTTTGTCAAAATTTGCATTTTTGTCTTTCATGGGATTGAAACCTTTTCAAGAGTCCTGTGCTTCCTTGTTGACCTGATTACATCCACATCTGTCGTTTTTGAGTTGTTGGTAGCGTCTGGCTAATAGAGACATATGATCTCTTTATTTCTTGAGTTGTGTCTATTTTTCCCTCTTTTCACTGAGACTGTGACTTTATGGACTTCTATTTTGTTTATTTTCAATATAGACATTTCTTATTTTTAAATTTGTTCAAACTTCATTTCAGTGCTTCTGGGTTTATATTATAGCTGGTTTGGTTTCATTTCCTGTTGCTGGGATAAAATAACTTGACAAAGACAACTTAAAGAGAGGAAGCGTTTATTTGGCTCAGAATTCCGGGTTACAGTCCATCTGTGTGGGGAAGTTGCAGCAGCAGGAGCCTGAAGCAGCCAGTCACATAACATACAGGACAGATGGGGCTGGAGAGATACCTCAGCCATTAAGAGCACTGGCTGCTTTTGCAGAGGACCTTGGTCTGGCCCATAGCACCAGCATGGCATCTAACAACCATCTGTAACTCCAGTTCTAGGGAATCCAACACCCTCTTCTGCAACACCCTCCATGGGCATTGCACTCACAGGATGCATTTACATACATGCAGACAAAACACTAATACACAAAAAATAAAAGTGGTTTTTTGTTGGTTTTTTTTTGGTCTTTGTGAGACAGGGTCTCCCTATAGTCCCAGCTGACCTGGAACTACTATGTAGACCAGGCTGGCCTTGAACTCACAGAGATCCACCTGCCTCTGCCTCCCAAGTGCTGGGATTAAAGGCATGCACCACCACATCTGGCCCAAAATAAAAGTATTTCTTAATTAAGAAAAAGAGAAGAGAGCAATGAATTAATGCAAGTGTGCTCAGCTAGATGTATCTGAGTCCCAGAATCTAAGCCCAGGGACCAGTACCACCCACAGTGGCACATCAGTGAGGGTGATTACAATAATCTCTCTGACGTTCTCTGAGCCCTTCTAGGTGATCCTAGGCTGTGTCAGTTTAACAATGAAAACTAACCATACAATGATGTTCTTGGAAAACCTTTTCCCTATATTAAAATGGTAAAATGTCCATATTAGCCATGAGTGGTTTTGATTTTGGTTTGGGGTTTGTTTTGTTTGAGATAGGGTCTCACTAACCCTGGCTGGCCTGGAACTCATTCTGTAGACCAAGCTGGCCTGCCCCAGTTCCCTGAGTTCTGGAATTAAAGGTGTACACCACCAGGCCTAGACCTTTTTGTTGTTTTTAAGATTTTTTTAAAATATGTATGAATGTTTTCCTTGCATGTATTTAAATGTACTTCATGGGGCTGAAGAGATGGCTCAGCAGTTAAGAGCACTGACTGCTCTTACAGAGGACCTGGGTTCGAATTCCAGCACATGATGACTAAACACCATCTGTAACTCTAGTTTTAGGGAAATCTGACACCCTCTTCTTACCTCCTCAGGCACTACATGATAGGGGTGCACACATACAGGCAATACACTCATACACACACAAATAAAATAATTAAATTTTTTTTGGTCTTTTTGAGACAGGGTCTCCCTGTAGCCCCAGCTGGCCTGGAACTCACTATGTGGACCAGGCTGGCCTTGAACTCACAGAGATCTGCCTGCCTCTGCCTCCTGAGTGCTGGGACTAAAGGTGTGCGCCACCATGCCCAGCAATAATAAATTTAAAAAAATAAAATAAAATAAGAATAAATGCATCACTTTCTTGCAGTGCCCAAGAGGTCAGAAGAGGGTACTGGATCCCCTGGAACTGGAGTTACAGGTGGTTGAGGGTCTCCATGTGGGTGCTGAGAATTGAATCCAGGTCTTCTTCAAGAGTAGCCAGTGCTCTTAACAATTGAGCCATCTCTCCAGCCCTTTTAAAATTTCTTATGAGTTTTTAAAAGTCTTTTTGAAGTTTTATTGTTTGCATTTAGCCTTTTGATCCCATGGGTGTAAGGGACTGAGGCAGGGACACTTTGGTCGGTTGTCTAGAAGAATCTTGCAGTGGGTTTAAGTTGCCACAGTCCTGAGGAAGGGGCGGGTGAATTGGAGAACGGTGTGATGGATGAATCCCACGAGCTGGATGCTTTTCTTCCACAGTTGTGGAATGGATGCCGACTCGGGGCCGGACAGTGGCGGGCATCTTGCTGGGCTTCTCCTTCACCATGGGCCAGCTCATCCTGGCTGGCGTGGCATACCTGATCCGGCCCTGGCGGTGGCTGCAGTTCGCAGTCTCAGCTCCTTTCCTGATCGTTTTCCTGTATTCTTGGTATGTCCAGCAGTGAGGTGTGGAGGGGTATGTGCCTCTGTGTGGCCTAGCCCTTGCTTAGCTCCATGACAGGCTGAATTGGGCAGCGGCTGGGATGCACTGGACAAAAAGGACAGAAAATGATCCCGGGGGCCACAGTGGTCCAGATACTCATGAATAGCTTTAGGGAATCTTTGGCCAAACCTCATCCCTGGGTGTGGCTCTGCCCTTCATCAACTTCTCAGTGCCTCACAACAACCTGGTGGCATTTTATAAGGCCGGCATTGAGGCACAGCCCAGAGAGGGGCTGTGATTTATTCAAGGCCGCACAGCTACAATAAGAACTAGATTCAATACTGAATGTGTCTTAGTTTTTAAAGACACTTTGGTGATTCCCTATATAATGTGCTACAAAAAAGGGGGTGATGGGCTGGCAAAATGCCTCAGCAGGAAATGATGCGTGCCTTCAATCCTGACACCCTGGGTTTAATACACATAGAGGGATTAAAAAAAATTTTAAAGGGGGTAGGTGTTGGGGTGTGGTGGTGTACATCTAGTCCCCCAACATTTGGGAGGCAGAAGCAGAGGAATCATGAGTTCAAGGACAGCCTGGGATACATAGGGAAGACCTATCTCAAAAATAAAGCATACCAGGCTTGGTGGCACACACCTTTAATCCCAGCTCTAAGGAGGAAAAGGCAGGCTCATCTTTGTGAGATCTAAGCCAGTTTGGTCTACATAGTGACTTCCAGCCAGTCTGGGACTAGGGAGACCCTGTCAAAAAAAGGTGTGTGTGTGTGTGTGTGTGTGTGTGTGTGTGTGTGTGTGTGTGTGTCATGTCCCTTAGCCTTTCTGACCTGAAACAGGGGCCACATCACCGGCTTTTATCATCTGGAAGGTAATTGGGCTTGGGGAAGGAAATAAACTCCACCTCACCCTGGTCCTTTATCTTCTGGGTGGCAGGTGGCTGCCAGAGTCCTCCCGATGGCTCTTCCTTCACGGCAAGTCCCAGCAAGCTGTGCAGAACCTGCGGAAGGTGGCGGTGATGAACGGCGGGAAGGAGGATGGGGAAAGGCTGACCACAGAGGTAAGCGGGTGAAGCGGGTGTGTGGAAGGACAGCCTGGATGGGCTATCCTTGTCCCGACAAGCTCCAGTCGTGCTGGGACTCGGTTACTGCCTAGGCGCAGAGGCTAGCACCAGCCAGGCAGAGTTCCAGAAGGGAAGAATATGGTGCAAGCACTGAATGGCTGTGGAGCCTGGACAAATGATCTATGGCTTTGCCATCAATCCCTCCACAATGAGAAAATGACCTTTTTCATGTTGACCATCTGTCAACATTTTAATACAAAAAATTAAGGGTTGGAGTGAAGCCAAGTTGCTTCCATACATGTAGCCCCTGGGTTTGATACTTAGTATCACAAAAAACTGGACTTGATGGTGCAGGCCTGCAATCCAAATACTTGCAATGGAGAGGTAGGAGGATCAGTAGTTCAAGATCATTCTGGCTACATAGCAAATTGGAGGCCAGCCTGAATTACATGAAACCCTGTCTCAAAAGAGAAAAATAAGGGGCCGCTGAGATGGCTCAGCTGGTAAGATGCCTGCCACAAAGCCTGAAGATCTGAGTTTAATCCCAGACCCTTCGATGCCCTGATCAGACATTCCTCACCCAGGTGGTAAACTCCTACATCCAGAGTGAGTTTGCAAGTGTCCGCACCTCCAACTCCATCTTGGACCTCTTCCGGACCCCAGCCATCCGAAAGGTCACATGCTGTCTCATGATGGTCTGGTAGGTGATGGGCTCGTGCCTAAGTCTTTGACCTGATTTGAGGACATGCTTTCTTCCCTCACTGACAAACTGTGTTTTGAAATATTCCTAATGCAAGGAGCAGGTGAGCTTGTGAATTCAGTCTCATGCTTTGAGGACATGCTTCTTCCCTCACTGACAAACTGTGTTTTGAAATATTCCTAATGCAAGGAGCAGGTGAGCTTGTGAATTCAGTCTTATGCCACATCCTTTCAGCACCTGGCCTTGGGACTGGTGAGGGTGCTTGCTCTGCAAGCATGAGGGTGTGAAATCCCCAGCACCCACCTGAAAAAGCCCCGCATGGTCTTATGTGCCTGTAACTCCAGCTTTGGTTGGTGGAGATGGGCGGATCCCAAGAGTCAGCCTAGCCAAAACAGTGAACTCCAGGTTCGGGGAGAGATCCTATACCGAGGGAATAAGTCAGAGAGGCATAGAGGAAGACACTGGATAGCCTCCTCTGGCCCCCACATTCATGCACACGAATGAACACAACTGTACACACATGTGTGTACATATGTATACAACACACATATACACACACACCAAAAATAATAATAAAAGAAGTTACCCCCAGCACTTGTCACTGTACTGAGTGCAGTGACTTGCCAGATGAGACATTATGTCGATACAGTGTCTACACCACAGCAGAGGGGCTTGCCTGGGGGTGGGAGAGGGAAGGGGAGCTACTGGAATCACTCAGGCGACCTTCCCAGGTGCACCTTTGTATTTGTTTCATCTTATATATCCTTGGGGTGCTCTCTCTCTCTCTCTCTCTCTCTCTCTCTCTCTCTCATTTTTCTTATTTTTTGTCTTTTTGGTTGTGAGCCTGAGCCTTTAACAGCTCTCCAGCCCTCATTTTTTTATTTTTTAATTTAAAAATGATTCATTTAAATTTTTTTTTGGTCTTTTTTTGAGGCAAGGTCTCCCTGTAGCCCTAGCTGGCCTTGAGCTCACTATATAGACCAGGCTGGCCTTGAACTCACAGAGATCTTCCTGCCTCTGCCTCCCAAGTACTAGGATTAAAGGCATGTGCCACCACGCCTAGCTAATTTTATTTTATGTGTATGAATTGTTTTACCTGCATGTGTGTAAGTGTACTGCCTGTGTGCAATGCCCTCAGAGGACAGAGGAGGGCATCATATTCCCTGGAACTGGAGTTAGACATGGTTGTTAGCTGTCATGTGGCTGTTGGGAATTGAATCTGGGTCCTAGAAGAGCAAGAAGTGCTCTTAACTCTTGAGCCATCTCTCTGTTCTGTAGACAGTGTTTCATGTAGCCCAGGCTAGCCTTGAACTCACTATGAAGCCAGGGATGACCTTGAGCTCCTGTTCCTTCTGTCTCTACCTCCCAAGTGCTGGGATTACAGGTGTGTGACACCAAACCAAGCCAAAGTGTCCACTCTGAGTAAAACACTTTAGGGTTCTCAGATAGAGAACCAATAGTGTTCACACAGTGTGACTAGGATGTGCCGGCATCTTCACAGCGGTTCTCCTGGTAGGGGCTCCTGGGGGACTTCATGCAGCAGGTGGTATTTAGGTGGATTTTGGACTCATGGAACTTGCCAGGTAGACACAAAAGCATTCCTAATATGAAGTAGATAAAATACAAGGCAAGGCTGGGTATGGTGGTGCACGCCTTTAATCCCAGCACTCTCCCAAGGGAGTAGGCAGGCAGATTCTGTGAATTTAAAACCAGCCTGGTCTACATAGAGAGTTCCTGACCATCAAGGTCTATGTAGTGAGACCCTGTCTCAAAAAAAACAAACAAACTGGGGCTGGAGAAATGGTTCGGCAGTTAAGAGCACTGGCTGTTCTTGCAGAAGACCCAGGTTCGAATCCCAGCACCCACAGGGCAGCAAGCAACTGTCTGTAACTCCAATTCCAGGGGATCATCTGACAGCCTCTTCTGTCCTCTGCGGGCATTGCATGACACAGGTACACTTAACTACATGCAGGCAATACACACATACACATAAAATAAAAACAATAAATAAAATATTAAAACAAACAAACAGGGCAAGCTGTGCATATCTGTAATCCCAGCACTTGGGAGATGAAGTCAGGCAGGTCAGGAGTTCAAGGTCATTCTCAGCTACATAGCCAGTTCTAGCCAGAGCTCCACAGTGAGACCCTGTCACAAAATAAAACACATTTAAAGATATGTGAAGCTGGTGGCTTGCCTGTCGCCTGGCCCCAGACGTTCTCTGATGCTGTCTGTTACCTGGTTTGGGGCTGGGTTCCTGGGCACTGGGAATGAGAGTTGTCTAAATCCTCACCCAAGTGCCCCCCTGGCAGAGCCTGCCCTTTGCTGGCAGGCCATTTCCTCGCCTTCCCCTCCTGCTATAAGGAAACAAACCACCAGCTCCAAAGGTTGAACATCCTCTTTTGGATCCTTCTGGAAAGAATAAACAAAAACCCATTTTTAAATGATTGGGCGGCAATCCAGGCTTCAGCCAGCAGGTGAGGTGGTGGGCCTCGGAGCAGACACTCTTGAAGCCTCCAGGCTAGTGGTGGATTTGCTTGCAACCGGACCTCCTGCACTGAAAATCTTGGCCTCTTCTAAACATTCCTTCTGCTGCAGGGCAGGCGAGGTGCCAGGCACTGTCTGGATCCAATTGCCCCATGTCACTTTAGGAAGTGTTGAGAGGTGTCCTTCCCCATGTGTGCCTCTGGGCTGGGGTGGGGGCGGGGACTCCAACTCTTGGGGTTCCAGAAGGACTGAGTCCTCTGAAAGAGCAGCCAAGTGATCTTAATGGCTGAGCCACCTCTCCAGGCACCCCCCGCACACTTTTTTTCTTTTTGGTCTTTTTGAGACAGGGTCTCCCTGCAGCCCCAACTGGCCTGGAACTTGATACATTGGTAAACTTTTAGCTTTTAGCTCAGGAGTAAACCTTTAACCTGGCCTAATCTCTTAGCCAGGGATAGCTGAGTTATTTGTTCAGGACAAGGAGATGAGCTAAGGGTTGTTGACCAAGATGCTTTCCCATAGAGCAGGGAGCCTGCACTACTATGACCAGGCTGCTTCCTCCTGCCAGCCTAGCAGTGTTCTGCAATACAGGGATTATCAGAGCCACTGTTTTCAGTGCCCCTCCCTTTAGCAGAGAATGCAGCCTGGACCTGTAAGTTTTAGGCTCACCTCACCCTAGGGCCTGGCATCCTGGTTTCCTACATCTTCTCCCTTTTTGTTTTTTAAAAGTAAAAAGGAAGTTGTCATAGAAGCCACAGTATTATTAGTTGAAATTACAATACAGCGCATAGCTATTGGAGCTCCCATAAGAAGAAGTACGCCAATCATTATAGGGTCCAAGAATGGAGTAAGCCATTGGAGCCATTTTGGCCAAGGTATAGAAAATTCAGACATCTTATGAATTTCCTTTTGTAAATCATTAATCTGTTGGTCTATAGCATGTGAAAAATTAGACAAATTAAAACAACACATTCCTGGAAATTGTTTACATCCCATGTGATTTTTAATAGCAGATAGTCTATAGTAGCTCTATTTTGTAGCACAGCAGTTTTTAGTTCTCCCATTTCCTGATTAATTTCTCCTAGTATTTTTGCAGTTATGTTTGCTGTTTTACTAGTTATACAAGCGAGTTTAGATATCTTGTTTTGCTGTATGGGGAGTAAAAAGACAGAACTAACAGCTACAGCATTTGGGTCAAGTAGCTTGAGAGAATCATCACAGTCTTCAGGTAAACATCTATGCATTCTTGTATCCTTTGTCCATCCTTTTCCCATATGATGGGTCCAGGTGGCCATGCACAGTTTTGACTAATCTTGATCCTAAAATAGTTACACCATTAACATTAATTAGTACTGATGACACACGTTTCAGCTTTTACACTATTCACAGTCAATATAGTTAGAACACAGACAAGAAGAACTTCAGGTTTAGAGGTATCTTGGCCCTGGCATTGTCCCAACTCCTGGGCATTGTTCATCAGGTTCTTAATCATTCCCCAGGTCACAGGAGGCTGCGTCTTCTTCTGGAGGGGTCTCCTTTTCCTCTCCTCCAAGGCCAGCATAGCCATCTTTGCTGTCGGAGGCTCGGTTGAGCAGTCTGATGCATCTGAGTAGTGCTCATGGGGGGTGGGAGCGATTCCTTTTCCGTGAAGACACAAGCATACCCTCGCCCCATTGTTAGTAAAGGAGCTGGAGTATCAGGTTCATGGTCCCTCCAAAGCACCTGTGGCAAGGGCTGTGGGACAATTAGTCCCTGCCAGTGCTTGGACATTGGAGAAATTCCTTGACTATTTAGTGTAAAAAAATTTAAAGTTAGTAGAGACCCGTGTAATAGGAAATGAGGATTCTGTACTGTTATCCCAGGTACAGGTGATTCCCTGGTTTTTATTTTAATTATTTGATCTTTGAGGCATTTGTGTTGTCTCTCCATTATTGCTTGTCCTGTGGGGTTGTAAGGAATGGCAGTGGTATGTTAAATAGGGAACAAACTGTTTTAGGTTAATTTAATAATTTTAGTTCGCATGAGGCTTTACTTT